CCCCGGCCCGGGGGAGTGGGGCCGCATCCACCCCTCCCCTGGCCCATCCCCGGGGAAGCCCCCGGCATCTCTAAAGCAGGGTGGAGCCTGAGGAGGGGTCACCCGTGCTTACTCGGGTGCAGAGAAGCGATGGGTGTCCTCAGAGACCCCCAAGGTTTGTGCTGTGGGGAGGGGATGGCTCCGGAGCCCGGCTCCTGGCAGGCGTTGGCATCTCCTGGGAAACCTCAACGCTGCGAGCACAAGAGGAGGATTGATTTTTTGTGGCCGACGTGGCAGCTTTGGCTTCTGCTGCAGCCGCGGCATCGCAGCAAAGTGGCTGCTGGTGGGCTCAGCGAGGAGAAACGCAAGTTGTGTCCACGAGAGAGAAATCCAAAGTGAAGAGAGACTGGGAAAAAAAAAAAATCTACAAAACCTGGTTACAGCCGCGGTGCCACGTGCCCATGAGCAGGCAGGGCTGGAGGGGGGTTGCATGGTGAGGGTGCTCAGAGGGCGCTGGTGAAGGTGAGGTCGTAGCATAAACCCAGGTGAATTATTTTTGCCACGGAGTTGGTTGAGGAGGAGCTCGGGACCAGCTTTGTGGAGGCAGTGGCAGGGGAGGAGAAAACCCAGCAGCAGCCCCTGGGGCTGGAGATGTTTGCGCAAGGGACCTCGAAGGTGAAACAGCCGAGCATGGTGAGGGTGCTCAGAGGGCGCTGGTGAAGGTGAGGTCGTAGCATAAACCCAGGTGAATTATTTTTGCCACGGAGTTGGTTGAGGAGGAGCTCGGGACCAGCTTTGTGGAGGCAGTGGCAGGGGAGGAGAAAACCCAGCAGCAGCCCCTGGGGCTGGAGATGTTTGCGCAAGGGACCTCGAAGGTGAAACAGCCGAGTTGGGGCCAGCGGTTTGACCACTCGTGTCCGCGAGGCTGGAGCTTCGCTGGCTTTTGGCCCCATCCCGGCCATCCTTGCACTTCTGGGGAGGAAGGTGGACCCCGTCGGCGTTTGCACAGGGTATTCTGCAGCTGCCAACTGCTCCGTCCCCAGGCACAGCTCTCCTGGGGGAAGGGGGGGCTACAGAGAGTGCAAAGCTGGGGTTTGTGTGCGTGGTTGTGGGGCACAGCCTGGGACAGGGCTGCAGGGAGGAAGGGAGCCCCTTGCTGCCGATGTTTGCTGCTGGGTGGGCTGCAAAGGGGGTTTGGGAGCGGTGTGCCCCCGGGGATGTGCTGGTCTCCAGTTCCTGGCTGGTGCTGGGTGCTGGGCGCTGAGCTCTGCCCTCCTGGCCCCAAGGA